GGAGTTCTTAACCTGGACAAACGACTTAGCAAAGAGGGAATGAGCTTGTAACGTGAAGTGTTCGTATGTGTGTGTATGTATATATTATCATGTATCGGATTTTATGAAATTGCATATATATTCACAAAAAAGTGTTACCATTTCATAAAATGAGTTACATGACAATATGTAAATTGATTAATATAGCTAACGGATGTTATGGTTGTACATAGGTGTGATTGTAACGTGAAGTGTTCGTATATACCGAACTCTGGAACAGCGGCAGTTGCAGTGAACAAGATCACCCATTCAATAATATTTACATTCAGAAATATCATATTCACGCCTTGTCACTCAAACACTGACTATTGCGTAGATCGATGCTCATGATGTTGATCACTGGTTTGTGTGGTCCAGACAAGATGTTTTACAGACCGTTTCCATACAGCTGGAATAGTGCTGTGTGTGCAACCATTCAAACAAACAAACACAATCATGCACAGCAACTATCATAAGCAGGCAGTGTAAGTGAAAACACAACCATGAACAAACACTTGTAAACACCATGTCATTCTAACACAATCGAGTAAGCGAGTGAGTTTAGTTTTACGCCGCTTATAGCAATATTCCAGCAACATCACATCGGGGGACACCGTAAATGGGGGTCACATATTGTACTTATGTGGGGATCGAACCCGGGTCTTCGGCCACGCTTTAACCACTAGTCTACCCAAATGCCCCTTATCGAATAAGCACACACCATAGTTCAAGCAAACAATACTCAGAATCTTTTACAAGCATGCTATGGTATTTTAAAACAATCATGAACAAACACTTTCATAAGCACACAGTTTCATTTAAAACACAAGCATACACAGCAAATATTACTCAGTGTGCTTCAAGCACAATCATACAGACACTTTCATAAGCACCAGTGTTGTTGAAACGACAATCATGCACAGACCATCTCATACGCACGCAGTCATTCAAACACAGTCATACACATGCACTATTATTAACACTCAGTACCATTCAAACACAGCCAGACACATGCACTATTATTAACACTCAGTACCATTCAAACAAGATCGTATAATACTCAATGCCATAAACAGGCAGTATCATTCAAACACAAGCATACACGGAGACTGTTGTAATCACAATCATACTCACACACTTCCATAAGCACGCAGTGTTACTGAAAACACAATCGTACTATATCATAAACACTCAGTGTCACTCAAACACAATCATACACAAACAATCTTGTAAGCAGGCAGACGTGCAAACATTCAAGCACACAGTTAAGCACCCAGAGGTGGACGACAATCAGACTTCACTGGCACCTCGTTATAATTAACGAGAATCTTTCCCAGGTGTCTGTAGAGGTGTCCCGGTAGTGACCGATGTCCAGTTGTCCGTTGAAGGGGACATGCGGAACATTACAGTGACGTACGGAGCGGAAAACCGACCTGTTGTGCTGTGGAAGGTCGATGAATTTGTCAGCCGTAAGTACTAAGTCTTTTAAAATGTCTACCAAACCTGGTTATCTCAAAATGCATTGTCCAGACATCCTTTGAATCAAGTTTATTGCATAATACTGTTTTCCAAATGCAGAGGGGCTGTGGGTGGTTTTGTGGTTAAAACGTGTGCTCGTCACGCCTGAGGCCCGAGTTTGTTTCTCATTTGTGCAATGTGTGAAGCCCACCTCTTGCGAGAAGGGTTTTCTCCGTGCAATTGATACAGTTATTGCCAGGAGATAACTGACGTGTAACGATACGACGATACAATACGTATCGCAATAAATAGAGGATATTATATGAGTGCCCATGTCATACTATGTTTACGACGAGAGTGCCTAAATGTTGGTATTTCCCGAGCGAGAGCGAGGGATATACCGATATTTAGGCACGAGTGTCGTAAACATAGTATGATATGGGCACGAATATGATATTCTGTTTATTACCGAAGTCGTCAAATTGAGGAAAATGAACCCAAATATATACTTTCATACATAGGCTAGCTACCCACCGTCGCCGCATATTGAATGCAAAGTCACAGAAGAAACGTGACGTCATAGCATTGTTCATGACGTCACGTCACCATGACAAAGTGATTTTTTGCCCAAGGGCATCGTATGAAAAATATGAACCCCGATATGTTCTCCCTCGTAGGTAATAAAATATTGTACCGTCGTATATCGTTACACCACTACTACTCGCTCACTCCATTTACAGAGGGGTAGCCTAGTGTTTGAAGTGTTCGCTCGTCAGACCCGGGTTCGATTCTCCACATGGGCACAATATGTGAAGCCCATTTCTGGTGCCCCCGACGTGAGATTGTCGGAATATTTCTAAAAGTTGCTACAACCAAACTCACTCACTTACCCCATATACTGATAACACTATATTTTTCTGACAATTCCCAGATACAATTTAACAGTTTAAATATCTGTCTCCAGATTGTGTGATTAATATACTCAGTTTTAACTCTCCAAGTAATTAACACTGACATATTCCATGTATGAATGCAATTCCGATTTAGATAACACAACCCACACCTACTCGGGGTCGGAAGGGGGAAACAACTCTTCATATGGTCATAGATCCGTGGCGTAGAGACCTTCAACGACAAATACTGACTTGCATCTATTGAGACGACTACGAAATCAAATTGTTCTCCAGGAGGGAGATATTCGAAACAGCCGCTTAGAACGCAAAACTATCAACAAACTGGTGTTCCGTTCTCAGCCAGATGGTCACGTGAACTTTGACGAAAATGAACGGGTTAACTTCAGTCTGTCGTTAGAGTCTGAGAACCTTGGATCGTTTAAGATGGATTTCACAATGGGGATACTAAGTTCTTTCGATTACAGATCGCTCCCTCCGTTAGAAACTCACATCCGGTCTATCCCATATTTGGAAGATCACTGGTTTCGTAGAAGGAATTCTTTCATCTTACCACCTCTGAACATCACCCCCCACGTCGACTATAGAGCGCACCGTGGCGTCTATCAACACAGCGTTCCCTTATACCGAGGGAGAGGTCAAATTTGCGGTCCGGTTAGGTGTTAACTCTGCGTACAGCCTTCTTGATAAAATCATAATCAGGCGTTGGGTGTATGTGAAGAATCGTGGACACGGTTCCCCATTTTGGAGCAGCGTCAATTTTGTTGACGACCCTCAAAATAGACACAACAATGAAGTAATTCATACGAGATGGCCATACACCCAGGTTGACGCCATGGGTTATCCGAAACCTGTCCTGAAGTTGTTCCGAGACTGTCGCGAGATTACAGAACCAGAAGCGGAAACGTTCACAATCGGAACTGGCTTCTTCCGGTTCAAGAACGTTACATTGGCCTTAAAGGGAGCGTACTATGTGAGCGCGTCGAGCGGGGAAACCGTAGTCTCGAAGATGTACTACATTGACGCCCTGGGATAACGTTAAGTGAAAGCATCTGCAATGAAGTTCAATAAATGATTCCTTGATCATTCTGGTGTTTTGATTTGAGCATTCGTTTTGTTTATACTTTGATTTCAACGTTGTATCGTGGCATGTCATTATTTTGTGAGTCAGACCCAATTAAAAAATACATTTTCAGCCTGTTTTGAACATATTTTACAAAAAAGACAAAAGGATCAGGCACAAGTCGGCTTCTGCCTTAAAACTCCTGTTAGAACTTACTCAAAGGAACCACTAAGTTTAGTTCCTTAATAAACCATAGTTAGTTGTATGTACAACCGTACAGCACGTGGCAGTAACAATAAATAAATAAATAAATAAATAAATAAATAAATAAATAAATAAATAAATAAATAAATAAATAAATAAATAAATAAATAAATAAATAAATAAATAAATAAATAAATAAATAAATAAATAAATAAATAAATAAATAAATAAATAAATAAATAAATAAATAAATAAGTAGTCAGGTATACCTGTCGGTTCGTTATAAGCTTGTCTTTTTTAAACGTACTTAACTGTAGATGGATGTATGGCTCATTACGAAGTATTATCGACAAAAACCATAGTTAGCTATACCAGTTGGTTCGTTAAAAGCGTGTTTGTTCTAAACAAAGTCTACTGTAGATTGTGACTTACTGGATGTTTGACTGATACCGACTCTGGGATGCAAATAATAGTCAGATATACCAGTCGTTTTGTTATAAGCGTGTTTATTTTAAACGTACTTTACTATAGATGGCGACTTACTGGATATCTGGCTGACAACGAGATATTATCGACTCTGGGATACAAGGCAAAACTCTCTTCACATAAAGTAAACATGAAGTTTGCACAGATATCCAATTACCCGCCGGGGACATATATCAGTCACAGACAGACAGGAGACTATTTATGAAAACAGTTCAAGAGATAAAGTGGATAAGGGGGTCTTATATGGGTTATAAAAATATTAACGTATTTTGCCTCCTACTATTATTCAGTAGTTTCTCGCTCGCGGGGGCTACATTGTTTATCTTCTGGTCGGTTTCGCATATTTTAAGGCTTTAGCAATCATTGGCATAATCTCTTTCGGAGGTGCATTACCTTACGGGGTTTTAGAGCGCGAATAAAGCATAGATCGAATACATCCATGACTACATCCTGTTGGAGTGAATTTAGTTTTACGCCGCACTCAGCAATATTCCAGCTATATGGCGGCGGTCTGTAAATAATCGAGTCTGGACCAGACAATTAAGTGATCAACAGCATGAGCATCGATCTGCGCAATTGGGAACCGATGACATGTGTCAACCAAGTCAGCGAGCCTGACCACCCGATCCCGTTAGTCGCCTCGTCGCCGTGTTCTTCTACATATAGAAGTTCTCGTCTTTCGAATTCTCAGTTTTAAGATGTACAGTTCATGTTTCTTTACTTCATTTGAATAGTATCATGGCGATGTGTTGTCAACACTGAAATCAATGACTCACACAACATCGTGGTAAATGAATTCAGCCTCTGTTTGACATAATGGTAGGGCATTTAAATGTCATGGCCTGAGACTGGAATTGTTGTTTCCGCTCGTTGATAAAGTGAGAGCTCAGTTGCAGCAGCGTGACATTGAGGACACATCTGGAATCATGGCATCCACACTGGTGGCGCTACAACTGACTCTGCTTCTGGCAGTCGTTCATGGGGTAAGTTTCACTTTCAATCATTCGAAAACATGGTTAAAATACCCTGAATATTGGCTATTTCTGATGAAATTCATTATGTTCATTTCAAAACACGTACAAAATATTGATGTATTTAGAATATACTACTATTTGAGAACCGACCCTTTCTTCCGTTTAGATATTATCAGTGCTTGGAAGGAGTGTTTGTTAATATAAGAAACATTTATCCGTCATACTGAAGTAGATTTATTTATGTAGCTAAATAATGTATCACTATACCAATAAAATGGTAAGCACGTCTGGAAACAATGTATACTTTCTACCTGAATGTAGAAATCTAACAAAATAAATACATACGAATATGTTTATGTCTTCCAAACGTATCGTTGTCAAACTGTGGTCAAACGTTTAACGAGATATTGTTTATTTTTATTTGTTGTTTGACTCTGCATCCGACAGTTGGCCAGGTATGTGACTGCCGTGAGTAAATAACCGAATGTGGACCAGGACGACGATGAGGTGTTGAATTATTGTGGGATATAAATACAACAATCCTTTTGTTTATATTATTATGCCAGGAGGATTGAACAGTCTTAATGGGTTATCCCAGATCAAGAATATCTATATATATCAAGAATATATGTATCATTGTTATATACTGACAGGCAAAAGAAAGTATACACTCATGTTTGATAGTTGCGTAAAATGAAACAACAGGAAACGGTTATTCTGTGGTGTTACGTTAGCTGCGTGCATCATAGTCGTGTTTGGGACAATTGTTTTCAGCGACTGTTTCAAGCCTAATATGGCATAATTTAGCCAAATCCAGTTTCCATAAACTTTGTTTTGTAGGGCAGCTATATTTCAGTACAGTTTTGAATAAATGTTTTCTCAATTTTGATAGGATTTTCCGATCAGTATTTGACAATATCTTTGTTCAGCTGTCTTCCTCAAACTTCGAAGAATACCAAGAACAATGGCTTAACCCGAAGACGATTTATTTGGCTAACGACAACGGCGCTGTGAACGTCACCGTTAGATATGATTCTCCCAGGCAGGTGACCCCGTTATGGTGGATCAATGGAAAACTCGGTGTAGGTGAGTTATCTGTGTATGGTCGTCACTTTATGACACTAAAGAAATGATCAATTTATCAAAATTTGTATCAAAACTATCATCCCTTACAACATAAACTAGCTACAGCCATCATATATTTTGTATTTACATATACTATTTATTATTATGTATCTGTTTCATTTGGGTTTTTATGAAATAATACACAATTATTGTATTCGCGTTTGTACCATCAACCGAGGTTATTTGAGATTAAAATGATTTATTGACTTTTCATGTGCGTATCAAGCGGGTGGTAGGCGATTAGAAGTTGTTGGATTCACGTTCAGCCTGGCTCCAGTTTAGCTTGCTCCTATTATTCGCCTTACACATGGAAAGTCGCAATGCGGCTACAGTTCGTTCAGTCGTTGCATACCTGATAGCTTGAGCCAAAAGAACACGTTTGTTTTCTGTACAGATGGTGATGATGGTCTCAGAACGGACGTTGCATTTTCCGTTATGAAACGGCACACAACGGAGTCGAATACTGGTACCAGACGGCGTCGATACGTATCCCAGGATCCTTCCAAATCGAATCACTTGAGCTCCAGTTGGCAGGAAAATCCATCGACGTCACCATCACCATCAACGTCGTGGCGATATCACCCGGGAAGTCCATGTTGGTGAGTAAAGAGTTGATTCAGATTCACGTTATGTCACGGAATGTGACAAACCGAATGTGTCACATGTGTAGATCTTTACCACTTCCGCAAATACCCACCAACATGTATATGGGGCTAATATTCAAGGAATAGTAAGGCTCATGGAGAATATAAACCAATGGCAGGAATCCCTTGTACGAAAATACTTACACAATTACGCGTAGTATGGACATAAAATGGTAAGTATGTAGTGTAGATCACGAAGTCTGTGTACCCTTCGGACAAGTGTACATTGGTACACACCCCGTGGCCGAAGGCTATGAACACACAATGTCACCTAAAATGATCATATGTGTCATATCTTATAATTGAGACGTATTCCGTTAAGGGTAATTGCTGTGCATATAAGATAAGATTGGCACAAGAGGTCATTCTTTTCAAGGATGGACTATTGTTGTCCCTGATTTGTACTGTCCCGTTATCTTTATGTCCTGTCCTTGTCTTCTAGGAGTACATCCCCAAATACGAGTATAAAGTGACTCCAAAGGATCGTGTCAGCTACAACGCCGGAGATCCCATCCTTATCCGCACAACCTTCAAAGCAAAGGACATTGGACATGGTACATGGCACGGCCTTAAAGCGGAGTTCACCAGTATCAATGACTGCATAACTCCTCCAAGAATCAAGATCAGAACTGCCGAATCAGACTCCGAATTCCTTGAAGTCACTACTCCTACACGTGATGATAATCTCAATTTGGATGAGTTATTTGTTATTGATAAACCAAGGTACAGTGTGCGGCGTGTGAACGTGAACTACAATTCATCCGGTGACCTACCCCGGGGCATTCTGAAAGTCACCAATGGCTTCAGTTTGACAAGGTCATGTGTACTGTTTGCGGGGGTCAAGGTCACGTACATGCTGTTCCTGCAACCACCACCTGTTTCCCATTTGTTTGCGGAAAGGCTAGTTGTTTTTGACAAGGTGGAGAGAAATTACTATGTTGAAAATGGCGGCGACATCGATGTGGAATTGAAGGCTTTTGGGGGCAGTGAGGTTGAAGATATATGGAGGGAATCATTGTATGAATATCCAAATATCACGCTCATGAGAAGTAGGCAAAAGGTAGAACCTGTTGCTGATGTTAAACGCTACTTCGAAAGAGAGGTCCACTTCCGGTTCCGGTCAGTGACTTCGGCCCAAGCTGGGAGGTACCTGGCAGTAGCCAAGATTAAGTCACGTAATGGAACGGGCAGGGCAAATGCTGATTTCAACATCAACGTCCTCAATGTCATTTAATTAATATCAACGTCCTCAATGTCATTTAGTTAAATGTCAGCAAGGTAATAAATCGGATCGAAGAAGCATTTGACTGAGCATGTGATCATTACATAGTGTGATATTTCGTAACTTTTGTGATTCACTTTCAGCCGTGAGTACAGCCCTCAGTGAAGAGTGAGTGAGTTAGGTTTTAGACCGCTTTTGGCAATATTACAGTAATATTACGGTGGGGGACACCATAATGGGCTTCACACATTGTACCCATGTGGGGAATCGAACCCGGATCTTCGGCGTGACGAGTGAACGATATGATCACCAGGTTACTCAATTATGAGTGCAGTGCATCTTGTGACGTCAAGTGCAAGATCAGAGCTATTTGGTTAATATACGTTTACATTTACTGTCCCCAATATCATTTCCAAATGTTGACATGTTATACCAAGTACCAGTTGGCACGCACCTCTACCCCAACTCCTACCAACCCGCCCCTTAATCCCTACTAAACTCTGAATGTAGGGTGCTATCCGATGGCACCCGTATTGGGTCGAGTTCTTAACCTGGACAAACAACTTAGCAAAGAGGGTATAAGCTTGTAACGTGAAGTGTTCGTATGTGTGTGTATGTATATATTATCATGTATCGGATTTTATGAAATTGCATATATATTCACAAAAAAGTGTTACCATTTCATAAAAGAATTGACATCATAATATGTAAATTGATTAATATAGCTAACGGATGTTATGGTTGTATATAGGTGTGATTGTAACGTGAAGTGTTCGTATATACCACACTTTGGAACAGCGGCAGTTGCAGTGAACAAGATCACCCATTCAATAATATTTATATTCAGAAATATCATATTCACGCCTTGTCACTCAAACACTTACTATTGCGTAGATCGATGCTCATGATGTTGGTCACTGGTTTGTCTGGTCTAGACAAGATGTTTTACAGACCGTTTCCATATATCTGGAATAGTGCTGAGTGTGCAACCATTCAAACAAACAAACACAATCATGCACAGCAACTATCATAAGCAGGCAGTGTAAGTGAAAACACAACCATGAACAAACACTTGTATACACTATTTCATTTTGACACAAGCGAATAAGTGTGTGAGTGAGTTTAATAAGCAATAGCAATATTCCAGCAACATCACTTCGGGGGGCACCGTAAATGGGAGTCACATATTGTACTCATGTGGAGAATCGAACCCGTGTCTTCGGCGTGACGAGCGAACGATTTAACCACTAGGCTACCCAAATGCCCCTAATCGAATAAGTACACACCATAGTTCAAGCACAATAATACTCAGAATCTTTTACAAGCATGCTGGTATTTTAAAACAATCACGAAGAAACACTTTCATAAGCACACAGTTTCATTTAAAACACACTCATACACAACAAATATAACTCAGTGTGCTTCAAGCACAATCATACAGACACTTTCATATGCACCAGTGTTGTTGAAAAGACAATCATGCACAGACCATCTCATACGCACGCAGTCATTCAAACACAGTCATACACGTGCACCATTATTAACACTCAGTACCATTCAAACAAGATCGTATAATACTCAATGTCATAAACAGGCAGTATCATTCAAACACAAGCATACACGAAGACTGTTGTAATCACAATCATATTCAGACACTTTCATAAGCATGCAGTGTTACTGAAAACCACAATCATACTATATTATAAACGCCCAGTGTCACTCAAACACAATCACACACAAACACTGTGTCAGGCAGTGTCAGACAGGCGTGTGAACGTTCAAGCCAAGTCACAGACAGTAAAGCACCCAGCGGACTTCATACACCTCGTTATAATTAATCAACGATGTTAATTGTTCAATAAAAATAACATGCTGGATATGTTGACACTCTCAACACAAATGTCAGCACTATCAAGTATCACTTGTTTAATTTCAACTCTGAATGCCTAAATTATCGACATCCGGTGAACTAGCTCTAACGGGGGACCTTCAAAGGTACAGAGAAAATCATTACATCAACATGGCGGTTGTGCGCGTCGGTGTGCTGCTCCCGTTGCTCCTGCACTTTCATATGCACCAGTGTTGTTGAAAAGACAATCATGCACAGACCATCTCATACGCACGCAGTCATTCAAACACAGTCATACACGTGCACCATTATTAACACTCAGTACCATTCAAACAAGATCGTATAATACTCAATGTCATAAACAGGCAGTATCATTCAAACACAAGCATACACGGAGACTGTTGTAATCACAATCATATTCAGACACTTTCATAAGCATGCAGTGTTACTGAAAACCACAATCATACTATATTATAAACGCCCTGTCCTGAAGTTGTTTCGAGACTGTCGCGAGATTACAGAACCGGAAGTGGAAACGTTCTCAATCGGAACTGGCTTTCGCAGTCGAAAGATCTTCCGGTTCAAGAACGTTACAGAAGCCTTAGAGGGAGCGTACTATGTGAGCACGTCGAGCGGGGACACCGAAGTCTCGAAGATGTACTACCTCGAGGTGTGGGGATAATGTTATTTTCTCTCTTTTTGATGCTCTCAAAGCATTTTATTTGCAATGAAGTTCAATAAATGATTCCTTGGTCATTCTGGTGTTGATTTTAGCATTCATTTTATTTGAACTTCGATCACAGCATTATCTCGTGGCATGTCAGTAATTTGTGAGGAAAGACTTTATTGAAAAATATATTTTTTTAATGTTTTGAACATATTTTGCAAAAGAAGACAAAAGGATCGGGCACAATTCACCACTAAATGTCGCCTTCTCCCTTAAAACTCCTGTTAAAGGGAGAAGGACCACTAATTAATTTAGTTCCTTAATAGTGAGTGAGTGAGTTTAGTTTTATGCTGCACTGAGCAATATTCCAGCTATATGGCGGCGTTTTGTAAATAATAACACCTTGTAGAAATCTATTTTGAAAATCTATAAGTTTTGTGTCTTGCAATCCTTTTCTGTATACTGTTAATATAGGTTTCCAATTAAAGTCCGTTTCAGGAAATAACAGCTGCCATCTATTACAAATATTTGGGTGTATATCACTGGAAATAAGTTTATCATAAAATATCCTGCAGCCTTTTGATGTTTTTCTAAATAGATCTGGCATTGGTTCACATTCAAATCCCTGACTGGTATTAAATGAAAATGGTTAAGAGTATCTTTCCAAGAGTCAGTAGTTGCCATCCAGTTTCATCACAAATATCCTTATTATTTATAATCCCTATTGCAGTTCATAAACCATAATTGTTGGGATAGAATTTCATTGATGTTATTTGGGTCAATATAATGTTCTTTTGTGAAATAGTTGCCATGCTTTTTGCACATCATGCAAAAAAAGGATTTGAATCTTAATGTACGTTTCAGACTATTGCTGTATGTAGAATATACTACTATATGAGAAAGCCAACCCTTGCTTCAATTTAGATATTATCAGTGCTTGGAAAAGTGTTTGTTAATTTAAGACGTATTTGCTTATACATGGATGTCTGGTACATCATGCCGTGGTACATTTACTTATGAAACCAAATAATGTACCAATAAGATGTATAATTTTCTACCTGAATGTAGAAATCTAACCAAAAAAAGACGAATATTTTTTTGTCTTCCAAACGTACTGTTGTCAAACGGTGGTCTAACATACGTTTAACGAGATATTGATTGTCTGTTACTTGTTGCTTAACTCCGCAATTGACCAGCTATGTGACTGCGCTGTGTAAATAATCGAATCTGGACAAGACAATGACGAGGTGTTGAATTATTGTGGGACATAAATACAATACATCTTTCTAGTACGTTCTGCCAAAATCCATCGACGTCACCATCAGCATCAACGTCGTGGCGATATCACCCGGAAAGACCATGTTGGTGAGTAGAGAGTTGATTAAGAATCACGTCATCATGGCTTTCCATCTTAAAATGGAAGGAAAGCTGTATGTGTCGCATGTGTAGACTTTCACAACTTTGGTAAATACCCACCAACATGTATATGGAGCTAATATTCAGGGAGAAGTGAGGCTCATAGGGAAAATAAACCAATGGCAGGTATCTCGTGGCCTTCCTGGCACCATTTCGTAAGTACTTATAGAATTAAGGCAGTATGGACATAAAAATGTAAATCTGTAGTGTAGATCACGAATTTTGTGTACCCATCTGACAAGTGTAAATTGGCACACACCAACGGCGGAAAACTATGAATACACAATGTCACCTAAAATGATCATATGTGTCATATCTTATAATTGGGACCCTCTCAGTAAAGAATGTACATTCGTATTTCGTTAAGGATATGCATGTAAGATAAGATTGGCACAAGAGATAATTCCTTCCTGGGATGGAATATTGTTGTCCCTAATTTGTGCTGTCACGCTATCTTTATGTCCTTTCATTGTCTTCGAGGAGTACATCCCCAAATACGAGTATAAAGTGACTCCAAAGGGTCGTGTCAGCTACAACGCCGGAGATCCCATCCTTGTCCGCACAACATTCAAAGCAAAGGATATTGGCCATGGTACATGGCACGGCCTTACAGCGGAGTTCACCAGTATCAATGACAGCATAACTCCTCCAAGAATCAAGATCAGAACTGCCGAATCAGACTCCGAATTCCTTGAAGTCACTACTCCTACACTTGATGATAATTTTAATTTGGAAGAACTGTTATTGATAAACCAAGGTACAGTGTGCGGCGTGTGAACGTGAACTACAATTCATCCGGTGACCTACCCCGAGGAATTCTGAAAGTCACCAATGGCTTCAGTTTGACAAGGTCATGTGTACTGTTTGCGGGGGTCAAGGTCACGTACATGCTGTTCCTCCAACCACCACCTGTTTCCCATTTGTTTGCGGAAAGGTTAGTTGTTTTTGACAAGGTGGGGAGAAATTACTATGTTAAAAATGGCGGCGACATCGATGTGGAATTAAAGGCTTTTGGGGGCAGTGAGGTTAACACTGAATATAGATGGATGGAATCATTGTATGAATATCCAAATATCACGCTGATGAGAAGTAGGCAAAAGGTAGAACCTGTTGCTGATGTTAAACGCTACTTCGAAAGAGAGGTCCATTTCCGGTTCCGGTCAGTGACTTCGGCCCAAGCTGGGAGGTACCTGGCAGTAGCCAAGATGAAGTCACGTAATGGAACGGGCAGGGTAACAGCTGATTTCAACATCAACGTCCTCAATGTCATTTAATGAAATGTCAGCAAGGTAATAAACCGGATCGAAGAAGCATTTGCTTGAGCATGTTATCATTACATAGTGTGATATTTCGTAACTTTTGTGATTCACTTTCAACCGTTTGTACAGCTCTCAGTGAAGTGTGAGTGAGTTTAGTTTTAGGCCGCTTTTAGCAATATTCCAGCAATATCATGGCCGGGGATACCAGAAATGGGCTTCACACTTTGTACCCATGTGTGGAATCGAACCCTGATCTTCGGCATGACGTGTGCACGAGGCTACCCAACGGCACCCTCAGAGAAGAGAGCAGTGCATCCTGTAATGTCAAGTGCAAGATCACAGCTGTTTACTTATACGTTTACATTTACTGTCTCCCAGTACCATTTGCAAATAATGATCATGTTACGGACACATCAAGGTACCAGTTGGCGCGCACCTCAATCCCAGCTCCTACATTGTGTAGCAACCCGTCCCTTAATTCCTACTAAAATCGTTAGCGTTGGTATGTGTGTATGTATTATGTAACGTATTTTATGAAATTGTATATATATTCACAAAAAATGTGTTTCCATTTCATAAAGTGAGTAACATGACGATATGTAAATTAATTAATATAGCTAACGGATGTGATGGTTCTATACAGGTGTGATTGTAATGTATACCACACTTTGGAACAGCGGCAGTTGCAGTGAACAAGATCACCCATTCAATAATATTTATATTCAGAAATATCATATTCACGCCTTGTCACTCAAACACTGACTATCCAGTTTCGTAGATCGATGCTCATGATACTGATCACTGGATTGTCTGGTCTAGACAAGATGTTTTACAGACCGTTTCCATATATCTGGAATAGTGCTGAGTGTGCAACCAATCAAACTAACAAACACAATCATGCACAGCAGTTATCATAAGCAGACAGTGTAAGTGAAAACACAACCAACACTTCCATAAGCACCAGTGTTGTTGAACAGATCATATTCAGACACTTTCATAAGCATGCAGTGTTACAGAAAACACAATCATATTCAGACACTTTCATAAGCATGCAGTGTTACAGAAAACACAATCATATTCAGACACTTTCATAAGCATGCAGTGTTACAGAAAACACAATCATACTCAGACAGTGTTACAGAACACACAATCATATTCAGACACTTTCATAAGCATGCAGTGTTACAGAAAACACAATCATATTCAGACACTTTCATAAGCATGCAGTGTTACAGAAAACACAATCATACTCACACACTTTCATAAGCATGCAGTGTTACAGAAAACACAATCATATTCAGACACTTTCATAAGCATGCAGTGTTACAGAAAACACAATCATATTCAGACACTTTCAGCATGCAGTGTTAAGCATGCAGTGTTACAGAAAACACAATCATATTCAGACACTTTCATAAGCATGCAGTGTTACAGAAAACACAATCATATTCAGACACTTTCATAAGCATGCAGTGTTACAGAAAACACAATCATATTCAGACACTTTCATAAGCATGCAGTGTTACAGAAAACACAATCATATTCAGACACTTTCATAAGCATGCAGTGTTACAGAAAACACAATCATATTCAGACACTTTCATAAGCATGCAGTGTTACAGAAAACACAATCATATTCAGACACTTTCATAAGCATGCAGTGTTACAGAAAACACAATCATATTCAGACACTTTCATAAGCATGCAGTGTTACAGAAAACACAATCATACTCACACACTTTCATAAGCATGCAGTGTTACAGAAAACACAATCATATTCAGACACTTTCATAAGCATGCAGTGTTACAGAAAACACAATCATATTCAGACACTTTCATAAGCATGCAGTGTTACAGAAAACACAATCATATTCAGACACTTTCATAAGCATGCAGTGTTACAGAAAACACAATCATATTCAGACACTTTCATAAGCATGCAGTGTTACAGAAAACACAATCATATTCAGACACTTTCATAAGCATGCAGTGTTACAGAAAACACAATCATATTCAGACACTTTCATAAGCATGCAGTGTTACAGAAAACACAATCATATTCAGACACTTTCATAAGCATGCAGTGTTACAGAAAACACAATCATATTCAGACACTTTCATAAGCATGCAGTGTTACAGTTACAGAAACACAATCATATTCACACACTTTCATAAGAAAGCACACTTTCATAACTTTCATAAGCATGCAGTGTTACAGAAAACACAATCATATTCAGACACTTTCATAAGCATGCAGTGTTACAGAAAACACAATCATACTCACACACTTTCATAAGCATGCAGTGTTACAGAAAACACAATCATATTCAGACACTTTCATAAGCATGCAGTGTTACAGAAAACACAATCATATTCAGACACTTTCATAAGCATGCAGTGTTACAGAAAACACAATCATATTCAGACACTTTCATAAGCATGCAGTGTTACAGAAAACACAATCATATTCAGACACTTTCATAAGCATGCAGTGTTACAGAAAACACAATCATATTCAGACACTTTCATAAGCATGCAGTGTTACAGAAAACACAATCATATTCAGACACTTTCATAAGCATGCAGTGTTACAGAATCATATTCACAATCATATTCACACACTTTCATAAGCATGCAGTGTTACAGAAAACACAATCATATTCAGACACTTTCATAAGCATGCAGTGTTACAGAAAACACAATCATATTCAGACACTTTCATAAGCATGCAGTGTTACAGAAACCACAATCATATTCAGAAAGCACAACAGAAAACACAATCATATTCAGACACTTTCATAAGCATGCAGTGTTGAAAACACAATTACAGAAAACACAATCATATTCAGACACTTTCATAAGCATGCAGTGTTACAGAAAACACAATCATACTAAAGAGAAAACGCAATCACACACTTTCATAAGCATGCAGTGTTACAGAAAACACAATCATATTCAGACACTTTCATAAGCATGCAGTGTTACAGAAAACACAATCATATTCAGACACTTTCATAAGCATGCAGTGTTACAGAAAACACAATCATATTCAGACACTTTCATAAGCATGCAGTGTTACAGAAAACACAATCATATTCAGACACTTTCATAAGCATGCAGTGTTACAGAAAACACAATCATATTCAGACACTTTCATAAGCATGCAGTGTTACAGAAAACACAATCATATTCAGACACTTTCATAAGCATGCAGTGTTACAGAAAACACAATCATATTCAGACACTTTCATAAGCATGCAGTGTTAAGCACGCAGTGTTACAGAAAACACAATCATATTCAGACACTTTCATAAGCATGCAGTGTTACAGAAAACACAATCATATTCAGACACTTTCATAAGCACGCAGTGTTACAGAAAACAATCATATTCAGACACTTTCATTATAAGCACTCAGTGTTACAGAAACCACAATCATACTCAGACACTTTCATAAGCATGCAGTGTTACAGAAAACACAATCGTACTATCTCATAAACACTCGTTGTCACTCAAACACAATCACACACAAACACTGTTGGAAGCAGGCAGTGTCAGACAGGCGTGAGAAGGTTCAGCACAGTCACAGACAGTAAAGCACCCAGAGGACTTCATACACCTCGTTATAATTCAACGATGTTAATTGTTCAATAAAAATATCTTGCTGACATATTGTTGACACTCTCAACACAAATGTCAGCACTATCAAGTATCACTTGTTTAATTTCAACTCTGAATGCCTAAATTATCGACATCCGGTGAACTAGCTCTAACGGGGGACCTTCAAAGGTACAGAGCAAATCATTACATCAACATGGCGGCTGTGCGCGTCGGTGTGCTGCTCCCGTTGTTCCTTGTGCTACATACGGTAGGTAATGCATGGAATGTAAAGATATATTTGATATCGCTTTCGTTTTATTCACCGGGACTACATTTGATCTAAGCTGGTGTAGGGGAATATTGACAGTAAACGATGTCGAGAGTGGACTGATGAACAAAAATACTCAACATTGAAGTTACAGAGACGGAGAGGCCGACCCAGATTGGCCGTTGTTTGTGATAGGCAGGGTCGAGCTTGACGCCTTTAGCATTTTATAAAGATGGTCTAGGGTAACCGTTTAATTTGTCTTTTAATGGAGATTTGGGTACAGTGGTTAAAGTATTCCCTCGCTATATCGAAGACAGTGTTCGATCCCTGACAGGCATTAGTGTACAACTTCTGGAAGGTGTATTTGATGTTTCACGCCGTCACAGGGGGTGTACATGCACCTCTGCAACAACCTATTTTCCACTGTACAGTTTTCCAGGGACAACCCGAGCTTCACATTCAGGGTAATTACAGACAATATATTGAATGGAACGGGCTTAAAGATTGTGTGTCGACAGATGAAGCATTATTGTACCCTAAACTACTATATTTATGATGTGATATTCAGTAATCCCCTTTACAGTCGCCTGTCAGGTCGCGTTATCGTGCCTTACGAACGAATATCTAAATCTGTCAATCACAGTAATATAGATGGGTTTTTTCATACAAAGTAGATCTTTTGTAGGCAAGCATAATGCAGATATTATTATGTAAATGCCCAATGGATCCTGTGATAGGTATTCGGAAAAGGTCATTTCTCAAAGACTTACATGTTTATTTGGTGTACCATATAAAATTTTCATTAAATGAAATCCAGGTGGATGTTTGTGAAGTTTGCAGGTAAATTTGACTTCATGGTTATGCGCATGGTTAAGATTCAATTATCCGACATATTTACTAATTACTAGTTACACCGTATTGAACACTCATTTATGAAAAATTGTCTTTAAATGGTGCTTGCCTATTACCGGAAAACTCCTTTTCGATTCGGAAGGGGTGTATCTTACCCTCTCTGTTGAAGAGGTCAGAAGTTTGCCAAAATGTTTGAGTCCACCCATGAAGCAAAGAAATCTGCCGTCAAACAACTTTTAGTCAATCTTCCAGAACTGTTTGACTTCATTCCCGTAGCGCATCTCTGTGGTACAACATTCAACAACATCGTCAAATAAGAGATAAGCTATGTTTTCCATATGCAGTTTTTTCTCACTAAGAAGTCTATTAAACTTGATCCATGATTCGGTATGTCCATTCTCCACTAGAGTTTGAATAATGCTTGGTAATTATTTGTTGATTTCCTTTATCAGTCAGTCATCGTCATATTCAACTCATCTGTACCATCAGTGTTAGGAATAACTGCAACGTAGTTTGATTCATAACTGAGAGATTCGTCAGACAACTTATTATGTGAAGTACATGGTGCTTCCACCGGTGGATTAATATCTCGAATTGTTACGGTGAGCAACTCCAGTCAGGAATACATGTCCGGTTATTTTTCATCAGATCAGCTGACACAATGTTTTGAAAGTCTTGAGACTGAATTTTGATTTTACCAGTGCTTCAATCCAAAATTCGTTGTCGGACCTTTAAAACATTTGTTGGATGAGCGTCAACGGAATGACAAATAATAGTCTCAAAGTCTGAAACAAGAGTACAATAGTAGCAATGGAAAGTCGCCATCGGTAGTAGGAGAAATGTAGTATGCAGTTGGCCCGAAAATAAAAGGAAACCCATTGTAGCAGGGATTTTGTTAAAAATAGATGCATCATTATCATCTTTATTTTCTGCAACTCCCCGTAACAGCCATCAGAGCGTCTATAGTTTGTCATATTTTAAAGAAACAAGCATGACTTCACACATGGCTTTGAATATGACGTATTTTGTTGTAAAAGTGAACAAAAGCACCGTGTGGTCATCACTTGCGTAATATCAGGAGTAAAACTAGCTTTTTCGCCGCTTGAAATAGATATTTATGACAAGAATAGAAACATTATCTGATTCCAATTGTGTGGAGAAAGACTTTACATGTATATGAATTCTCACATTTAATGTTGCATTTGTCACATGTGGGGAATACCTTAAACTAACCGTGAACGTAAAGCCTGGATTGTCACTTAAAAAACTGTACAGTGGAAAATAGGTTGCTGAAAAGGTGCAGCGTCTGGTTTTCATGCACAGTCGAATACCCAATGTGGTCGTATGATTGACGGAACATTGCCCAAAGCGGATTTAAACCAGTATCTGTTCTTCCCCAGGTGTGTGTCTGTAGAGGTGTCCCGGTAGTGACCGATGTCCAGTTGTCCGTTGAAGGGGACATGCGGAACATTACAGTGACGTACGAAGCGGAAAACCGACCTGTTGTGCTGTGGAAAGTCGGTGACTTTGTCAGCCGTAAGTACTAATTCTTATATATATTAATGTGTAAGTTTATACGACTTTGTAAGCTTGTGGTAGCAGGGGTCGCTCGAAATCTCAAAGACGAGTTCTCTAGGATGTTTAATGTGTGAAGCGCACGTCTTAACTCCCCTGTGTATATGCGGACGTCCATCGGGGTCTGTGAGTGGTTTTGTGGTTAAAACCTTTACTGGTTACGCCTGAGGCCCGAGTTGTGTGAAGCCCATTTCTAGTGTTGCCTTCTCCGTGAAATCGCTGGATAGGAGTATTGCTAAGGATTATATCCCTTCTCGCTAATAGTGTAACGTTACGATGAGGCCTGAGATGATACATATCGCAAAAAATATTGTATTGTCATATCGTTAGACCTGTACTACTCACTCCATTTACGGGCTGATGGATAAAACGTTCGCCCGTCTCACCGAAGATCCGGGTTCGCTTCCCTGACATAGGTGCAATGTGTGAAGCCCATTTCTGATTTCTCCTCCTTGATATTGCTGGAATATTGCTAAAATTATTGCTTTAATTCCGATTATATCTCATGATTTGCAGATCTGGAAAACACAACCCACACCTTTTCGGGATCGGAAGGGGAAACAACTCTTCATATGTACATAGATCCGCAACGTAGAGACCGTCAACGACAAATACTGACTTGCATCTATGGAGACGACTACGAAATTAACTTGTTCTTCCAAGAGGGAGATATTCGAAACAGCCGGTTAGAGCGCAACACTATCAACCCATTGGTGTTCCGTTCTCAGCCAGATGGTCTCGTAAACTTTGACGAAAATGAACGTATCAACTTCAGTCTGTCGTTAGAGTCTGAGAACCTTGGATCGTTTGAGATGGATTTTACAGTGGGGATACTAAGTTCTTTTGATTACAGATCGCTCCCTCCATTAGAAACTCGCATATATTCCATTCCATATTTGGAAGATCACTGGTTTCGTAGAAGGAATTCTTTCATCTTACCACCTCTGAACATCACCCCCACGTCGACTATAGAGCGCACCGTGGCGTCGATCGACACAACGTTCCCTTATACCGAGGGAGAGGTCAAATTTGCGGTCCGGTTAGGTATTAACTCTGCGTACAGCCTTCTTGATAAAATCATTATCAGGCGTTGGGTGTATGTGAAGAATCGTGGACACGTTTCACCCTTTCGGAACAGCGTCAATTTTGTTGACGACCCTCAAAACAGGCACAACAATGAAGTAATTCACACGAGATGGCCATACACCCAGGTTGACGCCATGGGTTATCCGAAACCTGTCCTGAAATTGTTCCGAGACTGTCGTGAGATTACAGAACCGGAAGTGGAAACGTTCTCAATTGGAACTGACTTTCGCAGCCGAAAGATCTTCCGGTTCAAGAACGTTACAGAAGCCTTAAAGGGAGCGTACTATGTGAGCGCGTCGAGCGGGGACACCGAAGTCTCGAAGATGTACTACATTTACGTCCTCTGATAATAGTCCTTGTTGATGCTCTGTAAGCATTTGCAATGAAGTTCAATAAATGATTCCTTGATTCCCCCTTGTGTTTTGATCTTAGTATTCATTTTGCTCGAGCGTCGATTATATCGTGGCATGTCAGTATTTTGGGAGGAAAATATACATGTTCCCTGTTTTGAACATAGTTTACGAAAAGACAAAAGGATTTGGCACAAGTCACCACATAATATCGCCTTCGCCCTTAAAACTCAGTTGTAACTTACTCACAGGGACCACTGATTTTAGTTTCTTAAAATCGTAGTTCGTAATGTCTATAAACATACAGCAAGTATATCTCTCACTCACACACACACACACACACACACACACACACACACACACACCCAGCACGCAAGCATACACACAAAGCACGCAAGCACACACAAAGCACGCAAGCACGCAAGCACACACGCACACGCACAAACAAAAAAGAACAACACACACTCACTCTCTTCTAAGTATGGTCAGTTCCAAATCTACCATTATCGATGATCAAGTGATCCTAATCCCGCAAAAAGGGAAACAAATTAACACAGCAAACATAACTTGGTTTCCGGACACCGGAAACCTAACGGAAACAAAATGGAAACTTAAGTTTCCATTAGGTTTCCGGACTGTTTCTCTACATTTCCTTCAAGTTTCCGTAAAACGTAAAACGGAAACTTACATTACCCAGTTTCCAGTATGGCTCTGGTGCGTTTCCGTTACCCAGTTTCCAGTATGGCTTCAGTGCGTTTCCGTTACCCACTTTCCAGTATGGCTCCAGTGCGTTTCCGTTACCCAGTTTCCAGTAAGGCTCCAGTGCGTTTCTGTTACCCAGATTCCAGTAAGGCTCCAGTGCGTTTCTGTTACCCAGATTCCTGTATGGTTCCAGTGCGTTTCTGTTACCCAGATTACTGTATGGTTCCAGTGCGTTTCTGTTACCCAGTTTCCAGTATGGTTCCAGTGCGTTTCCGTTACCCAGTTTCCAGTAGGGCTCCAGTGCGTTTCTGTTACCCAGTTTCCAGTAGGGCTCCAGTGCGTTTCTGTTACCCAGATTCCAGTATGGCTCCAGTACGTTTCTGTTACCCAGATTCCAGTAAGGCTCCAGTGCGTTTCTGTTACCCAGATTCCTGTATGGTTCCAGTGCGTTTCCGTTACACAGATTCCTGTGTGGCTCCAGTGCGTTTCCGTTACCCAGGTTCCTGTGTGGCTCCAGTGAGTTTCCGTTACGCAGATTCCTATGAGGTTCCATTGGGTTTCCCTTATCCTCTACTTTCGGATGGTTTCATTTATTTACTTAGTTCAATTATGATTCCCTGTGATTTTCGTTTCTATTAATCACATTAACCTTGTTCCATAAGTTTCAGTAAATCAGAATCTGTATGGCTCCATTTGGTTTCAATTATTAGTATTCAGTGATTACCATATGTCCATATTAAATTATGATTATTCAACTATATTAACTGTAGTGGAAATGAGTGTATTATATATTTGAATGTATTATGTCATATATTTTATTCATAATACATTCAAATATAAAATAAACTCATTTCAACTACAGTTACCTCAACACCACATGGACATAGAAATAAATAAATACAAAATCAGTCAGTCAGTCGATTTCTCTTTATTCATCATAAACATATCATGTCTATGTTTCAATGTTACAGTTAAACATTGTCACAAATCACAGAGAGAGAGAGAATGGTGTCATCACAGGCCCTATGGATTTGAAATTTTGTCTGAGTAGTAGTTTTTTCAAATAAATATTATGGAGGGGTTGGCATTTTTTAATATGAGGGACATTAATTTCTTTTTAATCTTAGTCTCAGAAACAACAAATTTAGATGTGTTTTTTCCTAAACAGGGTGACTACAGGAGATAATTGAATGTACATTTAGACATTCCATCCTATCCCTAACACATTTAGGTGGTTGGAAAGCATCTTGTTGGATGGTGTCGCAAGTTATTCATTTTGCCTCTGGAGCGTCAGACACCGGTTCCGGTTTCGGGACAACAATTTTAGTACGTAGTCCGACTGCCAGGTGGGCAGCACCTGCTACCTCGACCGTGACGGACCCAGGGACTGGGCAGCTGTCCACCTTGGCAGAATTTCCTCAACCTAAACAATGAAACAATAAGAATGGTGGATGTATTTCCCGTAATAAAGTACTCCAGCAGTGTAAGCTTTTTTCAGATTTTCCGATGCGTTGATCGTATATGGCCGATCCGATTTGATCCTAGGGCCTATTTCTGTGTTATTTACCTCGATATTTAATCAAATCAAGAACAATGTGATGTTTGATGACCAATTATTTTAAAACCACACAGCGTAGTTCCCTAAGATTTTGTAAGCAAATAATATTGCATGCAATACAACGATTACTACTCCCTTGCTGTAACCGTGTTTGGTGATATAAACCTACACCCGTTTATTTGTCATCATTCACTTGATGGTCATTTAGTGAACTTATAACAGGTATAATTAGTGGTAACATCACTCAGATTACCCGACAAAGATTCCCATTTGGCATTTCTCACGTCTACACTAAATAGTCAACATTATTCATTAAGGTCTTATGCACTACATGTTATGTAATATATGCATGGAGGTGCAGCAAAAGGAATTATTATATCAGCTGAGTTAAAAAACCAAACACAGATGAAGGGATTAACCGATAACACGCTAATTGATTTATTACTTTTATCTTGCACGACGTCTTTGTCAAAAGGGCCCGTCAAAAGATAGTGTTTATGTTTGTAGAGTTACTAACGTATACTGAAGATGTTTAGTACCGTGAAGTAGACATTTGTGATGTTTGTAACAACAATAAGGGCGGCACACAGGGATTTTCAGGTTGACCGCACTTGGAGAACAATGGACATAATCTGTGATGATAGGCATGCAGGTAACACTAAATTCCCAAGTTGAAAACAAAATATATGGTTTAAACATATTTATTTCTGATACATTGTTCAGAAACTGGATCGGCAAACAAGCAGAACGCTTATATTAATGCCTCTCCAGACAAAACAACATTTATGCGACTTACATTTCATAACAATATTACAAAAATACATGGTATCATACATAACAATAAGCATACAATATACATGAATATGAACATCCACACAGCCACAAATACTTTTAGTTCTGCAAAGGGACAGATGAAAACCTAAGACAGATTAAATCTTTTTTGAACTGGTAATAAATGTATGTACAGATTTGATAATATCATGATTTATAGATCTAGGTAATTCTAAGCTACCAAGAGCGTCATGTATGTTATATCCATATCGTTTCTTATGGCATCATAATTGGGACATATAAAAAGATAATGAAGGGTGTCCTCAAAGGCGGCACCACAAATACATGATGGGTTATCGGATATAAATCTACTTACTTTATGGGCATTTAAATCGCTGCATTCTACAGTGGATTATTTGAAGTCTTACAATATAGTGTAATCTTGTTTTTAAATTTACTTGGTGACTGTATAAGTCTGAGTTCTTCTGTTTTCCAAAGTTCAATAGTACTGGGCAAAAATGATTTAGCATATGAAGTAGTTTTTATAGGGATTTTTTTGCAAATTTGAAGAGTTTCTTAAGTTATATGGGTTTGCAACAGAGACAGATTCTGGCACGAGACTGTTAAAGTAATCTGGTGTTTTGTTATGTATCATTTTGTGGAATAGGGTCAGTTTCTGAATGCGCCTTCTTTCTGCTAGAGGTAAAAGATCAGTTTCTGAATATAATTTATTATGACTTGTTCCCCTTGTAGACCCACATTGTTCTTAGTGCATCAAGCCGCAATTTTTCAGGCATTGATGCCTGGCTAACTGTACAGTTATCCCATATACAACTACAATAATCAAATAATGACAGAATAAAGGATTTATACATAACATATAGTGTTTTTCTTGATAATCGATATTTGTAACTCCTTAAGCAATTTATCATTGGTGAAACTTTATCAAATAGAGAATTTATCTGTGCAGTCCAATTTGCTTCTTTTTGAAACCAGAGGCCTAGATGTTTGTGCTCGGAAACTTCGTTTATAGGAATATTTTGCATAAATAATCTCGGACTAATCACTATGGAACGTCTTTTACTAAACTGTATACTTTCAGTCTTAGAATGATTGAATTTAACTTGCCACCGCACTGCCCATTGAGAAATCCTTTCTAAATCTTAAGTAAGGCGCATAGCATCATCGGTAGGATCTTCTATTATAACATAAAGTGAAGTGTCATCAGCAAAGAGTCTTATATGGCAATCTATATTTTCAACAAGATCATTTATATACACAAGAAATAACAATGGCCCAAGCACAAATCCTTGGGGGACACCGGCCAATACAGATCTATACTCGGAATTGTAACCGTTTATAACAACTATCTGAACTCTTTCATGAAGATAACTATCAAACCAATCAAGTAATTTACCACATATTCCATATGATTGTAATTTGTATAGAAGTCCCTTATGCCACACTTTATCAAAGGCCTTGCTTATATCACAAAAGACAGCTCTTACTTCTTTACCTTTATCCATGGCACTTGAAATGAAGTTATACAAATCTAATAATTGATAAGTTGTTGAATCACCAGGAACAAAAACCAGACTGTAATTTATTTATAATACCATTGTCTTTAAAAAAATTAAAGATGTATTTGTGAACACATTTTTCAAAGAATTTAGATAAACAACATGTGAGAGACACTGGTCTATAATTGCTACATTCATTAACACTTTGTTTGTTATGAATGGGTATTACGGAAGCACGTTTCCATGTACTCGGAAAATTTGCTATGTCTAAAGACTTATTTAATATTGAAGTGAGGGGGTAAGACAGCACTTTGGCAGTAAGCCTAAGTAATTTATTACCAATACCATCAGGGCCCGTCGCTTTGCGAACGTCTAGAGAAAGAAGTATATCTTCAACATCCCTCTTGGTTAGTTCAATGTTTGCTAAACAGTTCCATGATTTACTACATAGGGGTGGGAGGGAACATTCTGGATCTTCAACCGTAGATTGGGCAACGAAAAAAATCGTTA